AAAAGAGCCAAGGTTGCCTACCCCTGGCCTACTTGTATTGAATCCTTAAATTTGAAGAGGTCAAAATCCAGAAAGACCAGAAATAGAATGAGTTGTGTAAATATGTACCTGTGCACATATTTTTTTCCAGTGATATTTATAGATTGCAGAATTCAAAGTTTGTATTGCTTTGGTACAAGTAATTTATCCTGTCCAGAAGACAGAGTGCTGCCAGTTAAATACAGGAGAACATCCCAATAAAGTTACCTCAGAATTATGACCTGTAGGCAGAACATCCAATCCTATTTCCTAATTCAGCAGTAACAAGGATGCTTTAAAGAAAACCCACACGTTAATTACAGAGGAATCCATGCTATGCCATGCTTAATACTCCCACCGCTGTCCCAAACTACTCTGTGTTGCAACAAAGCCACACCAATGGAAGCTGGCCCAGAAAAACAACAACAGAACAAAACCCTTTCATTTTATCTTATATACCTTAATGAAGAATTGCTCTTTCACTTTTTATTCTCCTGACCTTTCCCCTTACACTTTTGATTTTAAATTTCCAAATATAGGAGTTGGGACTGAAAGAGCTGTTAGAACTGGCAGAGTGACTACCGTACTAATCTCCCTCTGTTCTGTCACCAAAAAGTCTAAATCGTGCCCACCCCATATGCACTTAAACATCTGTTTGTCATTGTGCACTGTTGTTGTTTTTTTAACTAAAATTTTTACATGTGGGTCAGGGGACAGATTGTATCTGCCCTCAGTGTGGAAGGGACTGCCATTCTTGAATTGGCCTGTTTAGCCACACCAGATGCTGCCTTAGGACATCTTTCCAGAGCATGATACCATAGTCTCTCGAGACTGAAGGATGCCAATGGAATGGAATGGGTCACAGGGAAATAATTTGAACCATGGTTGAATTAAGGAACTCCCCATCAGAGCCCTAGCCTAGTTTTTAAAATGGAAGCAGTTACCAACAAACTTATCAAATACATTTCAAGATGCACGACTTTACTGAGGGCTAGAAAATTGGTTGGGAGAATGGTTGTGAAGATGGCAATTTTGGTAATTTGCAGGACAGGTACTATTCTAGTCTAAAGAAAAGAATTGGCTGGTCTAAAGAAAAGAAGAAATAGGGGAGACATGATAGCAGTATTCCAGTATCTGAGAGGTCAAGTTGTTCACCAAAGCACTAGAGGGCAGGACAAGAAACAATGGTTGGAAACTGATCAAAGACAGAAACAATCTGGAATTAAGGAGAAACTTCCTAACAGTGAGGACAATTAACCAGTGGAACAGCTTGCCTTTAGAAATTGTAGGCACTCCATCACTGGAGGTTTTTAAGAAGAGACTAGACAGTCACCTGTCTGAGATGGTATGGATTCTTCTGCTTGAGCAGGGGCTAAAGACCTCCAAGGTCTCTTCCAGCTCTATTCTATTCTATTCTATTCTATTCTATTCTATTCTATTCTATTCTATTCTATTCTATTCTATTCTATTCTAACTAATAAGTGAAGCTGACTCTCAAAAGCCTCTCTCCAAAAGTTTCAGGATGATCCAGTTGTTGTTCAATGTAGAACTCAGACACTTGGAAGTTCTACTTTGTAGGTAGTCTTCAACTTATAATCACAATTGAGCCCCAAATTTCTCTCGCTAAGTGAGACAGTTCTTAAGTGAATTTTGTTCCATTTCACCACCTTTCTTGCCACAGTTTTTAAGTGAATCACTGCAGTTGTTAAGTTAGTAACACGGTTGTTAAGTGAATCTGGCTTCCCCATTGACTTTACTTCCAGAAGCTCTCAAAAGGTGATCACGTGACCCCGGGGACACTGCATCCATCTTAAATATCAGTTGATCACGTGACCATGAGGACAGTGCGGTGGTTGTGTGAAAAACGGTCATAAGCCACTTTTTTTCAGTGCCACTGTAACTTCAAACAGTCACTAAATGAACTGTTCTACATTGAGGACTACCTGTAGTTAATGAAGCCATGACTTAAATTTGCTACTGAAAAACGGAATAATAAATATTAAGAATAAAAAAAACCCAGTGTGGAATGTGTTGCCCTTCAAATGTTGCCAAATGACAGTTCTGTTGTTCCAGACCATTGTCCACTCTGGTTTGATAGTTGTCTAAGGAGGCTACTAAGTCTCACTGGTTTGGTTTGAGAATGGGTTGTATGTACACTATTTCTATCTTTAGCAACTTTCAATAAAGTCCAAGCGCATGTCCTGTTATTGTTTTTTTTTAAAGCCACACCGTTCAAATCCTTCCTGAATATCTGGAATAGGCATAAGGGATATTTACTGGTAGATCACTGGCCGAGTTAAAAGAAGTCAATAATTTCTGACATTCAACTATTTACAACAGTAATAGCAGAACGAGCCCATCCCAAAGCTATATTGCTCAAAGTACAAAAGTTGCAGCAGAAGGGAAACAGGTAAGTCCAGAGTGGTTTTCTCCTATGGTAGGAGAATTCAATGTAGCTTCTTTTCTGTATGCTGAAGGGTTTTAATTAAAAAGAAAGCCAAACCGATCCCATAGATCTGAACTCTCTCCTCCGCTTGTTGTCTGTCATATTGATGCAATCTGTTTGGATCCAATTACATTTCCTTTCAGCCTTCAGTCCTTATTTCCAGATAAGTGCAACCATAATGAAGATAGCAAGAAAAGCGAAGGCGAGAACCCCAAAATCACAAGTAAGAGCTTGCCGGCACACACATTTATATTAGGTAATTGTTTCGGTTTCTGTCAGCTGTCCCTATGACCTGTAGTGAGATGCTCTGAGATCTAAGCGTTCATGATAAAAGTAGAACTTCTACTAGAATTCTCTGGCTGGGGGGAGAGAAACCATCCCAAATATTTTCAGAGCAGTAAATATATAATGTTTTTATTATGTTTCTCTTGAGAAGCACCCCAAGCTGGTGGAGAGTGAGGAAAAGGGGGAGATTATTCTCTAGCTCTGCCTTAAGAACCTGAAGCTGTTTTTGCCTTTTCAATTTTTTTGGAATAAACTTCACAAATTGCAACAAGAGGGAAGCTGTTTTGAAACTGATTCCTTAAATTTGCACTTGCTGCCACAATTTGGTCTTCAAGCTTTTATTTTTAGCTCCCCCCCCCCTATGTTTCTAGCCTCCTGAAGAAGTCCACGGGATAATTTTGTATGAGCCTCATAATAATTCAATTCAAAAGAAAACAAACTCCCAACTGAACTTCATGACTGAATAGAAAACTAAAACTGTGTCTATTGTTCCATGATTATCCACTAGGCCCAAAGTTGCTTTTTTAAAAGGCAACTGGACTTTCTTTGTTTTTCCTTGAAGTTGTTTCGCTTCTCATCCAAGAAGCTTCTTGAATGAGAAGCGAAACATCTTCAAGGAAAAACAAAGAAAGTCCAGTTGCCTTTTGAAAAAGCACCTTTGGGCCTAGTGGACAATCATGACCTGGATGACTGAGAATCTCCATAGATGTTATCCACAAGACTGCTTTATCATCTTCTCAGAACAAGTCTTAACTACTACAATACAGGGTTTTATTATCTACTTAATAACATGCAACCTATAGATCTTCTCACCATTTATCTTTAAGATCTGGTTGTACACATCTTTTATAGTCCCAAGCCTAACAACTATTCACCTGTTGTTGGCTTTATCAAGGTATCAGAGGCAAATGGAATTTTAATTCTGACAAATTGTAGGCTTCTCTTTAGCAATGCAACAACTGCCCTTTATCTAAATGGCTCCTGGCTATGCCTTTGGTAAGACCAGGAACATTGTCCAAATGATACTTTTCATTCTAAAATATGATAGTGGAGAGGGAACCCTCTTTTTCTCTTCCCCTCATAATATTAGCATTCGAAGTTACACAGTTAGATCGATCTCCTCAAACAATCCAGAATTAATTGATTGAATATGCTGTTGTAAGAGCATATGGTGGCTTTCTATTTAAAAGGTAATCAGACAAATTCACTAATAGTGGCTAGGCTAGATCTCCAGGTTCAGAAGTAGGGTGCTGAATTTGTTAGGAATAAATATGCTAGAAGGCTATATATGGCAGCTCTTGGCTGCCATCATGGGAAATAGGAAGCCAGATCAATGCAGTGAGCCCTTTTCTTCTCCATCCTTTTCCTCCTCCTTCTTACTAACTCTGTTTACAGACTGAAAGGTATTCCTCATAACACTTACTTTATTAAGATGTATCATGGGTTCAGAATATTGGAGAGCACAGTGCTCTTCACATGGTCCTTCTTTCTGGTATAAGAATTCTTTTCATCAGGAAGGGAAATAGCTCATTCTGGGCTCCCTTCTCAAGCACTTTCAAAACAAGCCTCTCAAATGTCATCCCAACATCAGTCACTGCTTAAAGGACCTAGTGGCTACACTTGTTCTAGGACTCTGGGCCTGTGTCCAGAAGCTGCCCTTAGGCAGAAATAGCAGCAGTGTTACTTCAGGACACACTCTATGGGTGGAGCAGTGCCAGCAAGTTGCATCAATATTAGGTACTGCCTGACTGGGGCTGCAAAAATCCAAAGGATCACTAGATAGTAGCAAAGAGCGAGAATTTTCTGCAACTCTTTGCTGCCATCTAGAGGCCACCTCTCTTACTTGTTGCCTGTTGCCACTTGGTTCTCACTGATTGTGCCACTCTAGACCAGTGGTTCTCAACCTTTCTAATGCCGCGACCCCATAATACAGTTCCCCATGTTGTGGTGACCCCCAACCACTTATACATCACTGGGTGCCAGGGGCGTGGCCAAAGGGGGAAAAAATGGCGGACAGCCTTGTTTGGCGACCCCCGTGAAATGGTCGTTCGACCCCAAATGGGGTCCCGACCCACAGGTTGAGAACCACTGCTCTAGACAAATGCTTGTGTGCTTGAGCACCATGAAACAATTACCTCCCCTATGTTGACTGTATATACTGATATTCAAAAAGCCTGCATAAGGAAGTTGCTTCACATGTAAAGGAACAAAGTCTGGTTTGCCTGGAGCCCAAACTCCATCCTCATCTTACCTGTGAGCTGATTGAAACCCATTTGGTGTAGAGCATGTGTAACATTTTTTTCATAGTTGAGGACCACATAGAGGGCATACTTGTCTTCGTAGTACTGGGTCCCACGTATCATGCGGAGGTTCTGCAATGGCAGGTAAGTGAAGACATTCATGGCGATCAAAACATAGCCGGTCACTTCTCGGATAGTCTAGGAAGAATGAAATAAAATCACAAAAGACATCGTAACTCAGCCAGACTTAAATATCAAGCATACCCTTCAGAGATTATTTGCCCTACTGACTGGGAATTGTCAGAAATGCAGCAAGCTGGGGAAAACTATCATAACATTTATTGCATGTATTCACTATCAAATGTGTGGCATTTTGTTAATCAATCAGGCTGCTGTGACTTAATGGAAGAGGAAAATGCATGTGATTGTAATTGGTTTCCCTGGGTTCTTCCTCAATGGATGGCAGCCTAAAAAGCTGTATTTGATATCATAGTAGTTCCATTGGCATCACAGAGCTCTGCAAAAGTTTGGACCCAGTTCTGACGAACTACAACAAGGAATAGTTAGCGGAAAGGATCAATGAGTAGAGTGAAGCTAAGCAGACTCACATCTTGAAATAGAGATCACTGCCAAGGAGCACTAAATCAGCAGGGGGAATGATTTCTGACTGAAATGTTCCAAACATTAAAATGTTCCAAACATTTTAATTTTTCCCAGCCAACTGTGTCTGAGAACCAGTATAGTTAGCAAAAATTATGTGGGAGGTAGGCAAAAAAAATTCCCATCCCCTGCTTTCAGGTAGACTCCATAGCATATAGTATACTGTTATTTGGATGTAATCCATATCTAAAAATTTAAATATTCTTTATAACCCAAAGTGCTTCCCCCCCCCCCAAAGTCAACTGGACTTCCTTTGTTTTGCTTGAAGATGTTTTACTACTCATCCCAGAAGCTTCTTCAATTCTGAGAAGCAAAACATCTTCAAGCAAAACAAAGGAAGTCCAGTTGCCTTTTGAAAAAAGCACTTTTGGAATAACCGTAACCTGGATGACTAAGAATCTCCATAGATGTTCCATATAACATGTAAACGTATACTAAACATTTACTTTCATAGTTCCTTTGATGCACACCAGTTCTTTGCAATATTCACTGCATTTTCAGAAAAAAAAATAATATTGAATTTCTCATTGCTTGTTAGGTCCTGCTACAATTTCTTACATTTATATTCACAGTTCTATATTTTAGTTGTGGTGTTTTGATGTATATGTTGTTGCTTTTTTATTCACATCAGCTGCCTTGATTGTCAAAATGACAAAAATGCAAAGTACCAATCAAATAAATGTCCTGCTTTCTTTGAGAAATGTTTATATTTAGGGAAATAATTTTCAGGCTGCTTGTATCTCCTCCACCATCATCCCCTCTCTCATTTCATTAGTTATTATTTGTTTCTCTTTAAATTTCAGTCTTCATCCGGAAATGTAGATGTAAAGAGATGCATTTAACTCATCTCTCTCTCTCTCTCTCTCTCTCTCTCTCTCTCTCTCTCTCTCTCTCTCTCTCTCTCTCTGTACATGTGCGTCTGGGGGGGAGGAGTCCATGAAGTCTCCAAGAAATAAGTAAAACTTAAAAGTATTTACTTCATCTTCTTGAAAAATACAAAATCCCAAGTAAAATAAATAAATAATTCCAGAAAATCTACTACTATCCCGAACATACCAAGATATACATAATATGTAAACATCAGGGCTTGACATAGGTTGTTATAACTGAGACAATAACAGGCCTATCAGCCATATATGTAACCAATTCTCTTTCAGCCAGCTACCATACTGCATGGTGATTATCATCACATGGTGAGCTCTTTAGTTAGCTATGTGCCAGTTTTGGAGTCTGGAGTTGGCTAACTTCAGATAATACTTGTCAGAAACCCCAGATTATTGTGGGAGAGCAAATGGGTAAGGAAAGGACCTCTGAGATTTCTGAAAACACCCACTGGGTTAATGGTTGACAGATTATTGTGTCACTGAAAGGACGGAGAATTAACTTTGATCATTTAGCTCCATTTGTCTTTTCTACTTGTGATGCCATGGAGTCCACATTCCATAGGCAGGCTCGGTCTAGATCAGTGTTTCTCAACCTTGACAATTTTAAGGCATGTGGACTTCAACTCCCAGAATTCCACAGCCAGCATTGCTGGCTATGGAATTCTGGGAGTTGAAGTCCACATGCCTTAAAATTGTCAAGGTTGAGAAACACTGGTCTAGATTAATGTTACCATATAGCTATTTAGAGAAGGGTATGTCACCCTTGCAGCCATTTCTCTGAGCATAATTCCAAACCTCCACTGCCTCAGTCACAAAATGAAAACAAATATCCCCAACAGAGACATTTTTAGCCAACTACTACCAACACATTCTATGTTCTTCTCAACCAAGCAAATCCCTTTTTTTCTTTTTAATCAAACTAGGCTTCCTTCCTATATCTGAAGTTACCTATCAAAAATATTACTTTGTTGAATAAGCCATAATCTGAGATCCACTTAAATTGTTGATACTGACTTCAAAACATTATATATTGAAGCATTAATCCTAAATGTGTTTACTTTTGAGTAAAGCTCTTTAGGATGAATACATTTGGCATTTCACTTGGATAAATTATTTAAATTGTTGACAATTATTATGATTGTCAACCTCATGATTCAGGTTTTTGAGGAAGGGAAAGGAATGACGGGACACAATGGAATGGACATGTAAGCATTTTCTGGTTTTGCTCTGCAATCTATCCATTTTAATAAGAATATTCTTAGAAAATATAACAAAGTGAAATGTAGTCTATCACTGGATTTTTTTTAATCTGCCAGGAGTAAGCGAGAACATGGCCATCATTTGTCATGTCTATGTACAATCATTAATAGAAACAGAAAGTTGGAGTAGATAACTTCAGCCTTATGAATGTAGATGGAGGAAGCCAAGATTCCCACGGAGAATTTTCTATGCTAGTTTCACACCTGCTACAAAAAGGGAAATTTGTTAAGTCCTCCACCACATCTAGTTACCTGCAGGAAAGAAAGATCCTGGTTTTGTCCAATGAGTACTATCTCAAGGTTGCCCATGACGATCTCACAGTTGTTGTACATTTTATATAGAGTCTGATACCGTTGCTGGGCATCTCCTGTCACACTGAGTTCGTTTTGGGTGCCTGCACAAACTGCAAGGAAAAAAGAAAGGGAATGCATAAATCATTCATAAAGCTCACCAGTTCAGTGCTTATTCTATAATAGTCTCCACCATGAAAAGCAAAGTCATCCAGATATCATCACTTTCTGCTTTGAACAACCATGTCCAGTAGAGCACGGCACAACTAAACATCAGAAATGGCGCGGATAAGGTGCTCCAGGCCAAGTTCTAAATCCTTACAGGGTGCTATTCTTTCAAATTAATCAAAGTATCAGTCTTGATGGCTATATATTTACCCTAGTCTGAGGTCAGTTTCACTGTCATGGATTCCATCTAAAAACATATAAATTAGATTTTTATGAAGGTGCTATTGTTGTTATCTCTTCCTGTGTTACTATTTGAAAAATTCTTCAGCGACAAGGGAGGATGATTAGACATTACAGTTAAAAGAGGGGTCACTAGACAAAAGTGCAGTCTCAGTTTTGACATGGAATAAGTTCTTAGATGATCCAGTGGCATCATGACCAAGGACTTGCAACTGAGAAAAATCTCATGATGTCCCTATAGTTTCTATTGATGGGGAGCTTCCATTTCAAGGCAATTTCAAGTCATGGGGGGGGGGAGACAGCAGACAGTACAAACTCTGGTCAGTTTTGACTCTGGCAGCAGGAGCTGCAAGGAATGAAAGACTGGGAATAAATCTACAGTGAAAATAGCCTGGATCAGTCTCAGATACAGCTGAGAAACAGAGAAACTATTGCCCTTAAGATTCCTCAATGACTCTATTGTAATGCTTCCAGGGCAGAGGAACAGGGATACACAAAACAAAATTATGTAAGAAATAGAGCCATAATCCATAAAGGGTTTTTCCTAAAACAGATTGCCATTAGTCCAAACTGATAAGAAAGATGACAAAATCTAGTGAAAGCAACAACAAACAACTATGTTGATGTATGGCATCCTCTTCCAAATTCACTTTTTTGCTTCCTTCTCGGAACTATTATCATTAGAGATAGGCATCTACCTGTGAATTCCTCAGAAGGATAGTCATGCTGGCTAATATCCAAAGAAATTTCAGGTGCGTGATGTACTAACTAGAACATTTTATATTTTCCATTGTTCATAGAGTCATAGGACTGGAACGGACCTTGGAGGTCTTCTAGTCCAACCCCCTACTCAAGGCAGGAGTCCTTATACCATCTCGGACAAATGGTTGTCCAGTCGTTCTTTGAAAATCTCCAGTGATGGAACACAACTCCAGGAGGCAAGCTGTTCCATGCATTAATTGCTTGCACTATCAGAAAATTCCTCCCTATTTCCAGGTTGGATCTCCCTCTAATGAACTTCCACCCATTGCTTCTTGTCCTGTTCTAGATGCTATGGAGAATAAACTGAGCTCTCTTCCCTGTGACAGCCTTTCAAGTATCATGTCTCCTTTAAGCCTTTCTTTCGTAGGCTAAATGTACCAGTTCCCTTCTCCGTTTATCACACAATTTAGCCTCCGGACCCCTTAGCATCTTTGTTGCTCTTCTCTCCACTCTTTCCAGGGCTTCAGCATCTTTTTTGTGTTGTGGCAACTGGACGCAGAACTGGACAGAATATTCCAAATGTGGTCTCACTAGTGCAATACAGAGCTATACTATTTGATGTTGCAATCTAGGATTGTGCTGGCTTTTTTGGCAGCTGTACCACCCTGCTGACCCATACTTTAGTGGTGGTCCACTAGCACACCTAGATCCCTTCACAGGCACTACTATCCAGCCAGGTGCTGCCTATTTCAAGAAACAATTGTCATCCCCTGAATATGGAGTATAGGTCTATAGTTCATTTTTACAATAAGGCCTCTGAGTTTCAAGATTTGAATGCTAACTAGGAATGTTTAAAATCCACAGTCTCTACCTACCTAAAGGTGCACAGTTGGAAAATGCTGCTCTACTAGATAATAAACAGGTCCTACCAAAAGCATAGAAAGGGGTAGAAAGCTGTCACCTTGGTGTCCTACTTCCTAGGACACCAAGGTGAGTAGCTCTGATCAAACTCAACCAGTCCTAAATGACAAGCATGAATAACAATTGTGAGCATTTGCACATTCATGGAGGTAAATAAACAGTCAGGATCTCCCCACAGCTTAAGTAGTACAGATTAACCACATTGCAAGAGGAAGGGTGTGGTAAGGCTGAAACCATTAGGAACTAGGATGCTTGATGAGATCACAATCAGCCCCTTTTCTATCTAGTTACTTGAAAACGCAAACTCCACTATGAAATTTACAGTAACAGGAAGTGGCATATAAATATTAATTGAATAAACAAGCAAGCAAAACCTAAATGGCTATTCTTCCTCTATCTACCACAGAGATCAGAACACTAGACTGGAAAAGTAAGATTCCAAAAAATGAAAAAGGATTACAGGTAGTCCTCAATTTACAGCAGTTCATTTAGCGACCATTCAAAGTTACAATGGCACTGAAAAAAGTGACATGATCGTTGCAGCATTCCCCGTGGTCACATGATCAAAATTCAAAGGCTTGGCAAGTGGTTCATATTTATGACGGTGGCAATGTCCTGGGATCATGTGATCAGCTTTTGCAATCTTCTGACAAGCAAAGTCAATGGGGAATCCAGATTCACTTAACAACTGTGTTACTAACTTAACAAATGGAATGATTCACTTAACAACTGTGGCAAGAAAAGTCATAAAATGAGGAAAAGTCATTTAACAAATGTTTCATTTAGCAACATAAATGTTGGGCTCAATTGTTGTCATAACTTGAGGACTATCTGTACCTGCTGGATTCATATAGGTTATAAGCTAGGATTTCTATTAACCCTGAATTCCTGAAGAAGCCTCATTTGGCTGGGATCTCTAAGTAATACACTATGTTATTTATTTATTTATATGCTGATTTTTTTCTTTTCTACAAATGTCAAGAGGGCAAACACATCCAACACACATTCCTCCTCCTATTTCCCCCAGAACAAGTTAGAGAGAGAGAGTGACTGGCCCAAAGTCACCCAGCCAGCTTTCATAGCTAAGGCAGAACTTGAACTAATGGTTTCCCTCTCTCTAGCCTGATGCCTTAACCACTAGACCAGGGGTAGGCAACCTTGGCTCTTTTATGACTTGTGGACTTCAACTCCCAGAATTCCTGAGCCAGCAAGGTTGCCTACCCCTGCACTAGACCAAAGTGGCTCTCTTTCAAACCATAATGGCCAGAATTGTGCACTGCAGCAACTTGAAACCAAACAAAGTACTTGATGTATGAATTCAGCCACTTACCCTGAGAGCACAGATAAGATGCTCCTTTCTCATTGGATGAACGGTCCAGCACTCAAGTACCTAACACTATAGTTTATCAGATGAAAATGTTTCCAAAGGGTAACCGGGTTCACTCTGCTGCCCCAAATATAATAGCCTGTGTTGCAGAACACACTACCACACAACAGCCACAACCACAATTGGTTGAATAAACCCAAATTGGTGAGATACACATAGTACACTAAACTACAAAGAAGCACACATAATTTCTCCAGTTTGTGTGAGCCAGGGAGACCATTTTGAAGTTTGAGAGCCTGTTAGAAGCACTCACACCAAATAGGTGCCACTGTGGATCACTCACTCATAAAATTCACAAGAAGGCAAATAGAATAGTTGTTCCTGGACACCTCCCTCCTCAGCTGTTCCCAACCCCTTAACTTGCTTTTATTTATTTCCAGACAGACAGGTACACTTTCAAACAAAGCAGTAGGCGACAGCCTTCTACTATGTTACTTTTCTCCAAAAACAGCAATATCTACTGGGAAGGTTAGAAAAATCAAGATGGCAGACCCAGCAGTGTGATCACAGTCCTCCCCATGTTGTACGTGTTTTGATGTTGCATGCAGATATAAAGAGACAGGCTTAAATTGCACTGCTGCCACTGCCATCTTGCCTTTTTTGGTCACCTTCCCCCAGATGTTTCTGGCATAAGGTCTGTGAGGCCCAAAGACACCCTTGTAGAGTAATTGAAATATTTAAAGCCGGATTCTTTAAACTCCTGTGCCTTTTTAATTAAAAGAATCTATGAAGACAGGTGGAGTGTACTATGACTAACACTTACAAAGCTGTTTCAATATTGATTAATTTGTAAAGGGCGGAGTTTTATTGTGCTGAATCATGTTTATCGGCAAAGGGGAAAGAGGCCAATTTGGCTGCAGACATATTAAAATAGAGCAGAGAAGTCATTGGTGAAGGTTCAGGACTGGATTATTTTGCTCTAAAAACAGGTACAATCTTGAGTATTTGGCATTTGCAGGTCCACACTCTGGTCACAGATGATAGGTTAAGGGAGCTTTGACCCACTGGCTGTTTTCCATCAGTGCATTGATTCAGAGTTAATAAATAACCAAGGAGAAAGCCTCTTCAGCCTTTGAATGCATACCTCACCTCTTATTTCTTATGCACAAGCACTACAGATTCTTGAATCAGGTTCTACATATAACTACAGGATGAATAACTAGAGCAGTGGTTCTCAACCTGTGGGTCGGGACCCCATTTGGGGTCGAACGACCATTTCACGGGGGTCGCCAAACAATGCAGTCCGCCATTTTTTTCCCCTTTTCCTTAGCTGTGCTACTCCCTTTTATTCTATTGGCTTTCAATAATTATTCTATTGGCTTTCAATAATTAGACTCTTGAATAGAGTCTAATTCTATTGGCTTTCAAAAGCCAATAGGAATTGTCCAGGCTGTCTCTGCCCTGCTGAGCCCGCCAAAAGTCCCATACTGCAAACGGTGCTGCACCAGTTGAGTAGTCCTCGACTTACGACCGGTTGAGTAGTCCTTGACTTATGACTGGTTGGGAGTCGCGGCATTAAAAAGGTTGAGAACCACTGAACTAGAGGATGGGGAGCCCATCTTTGTTAATTGGCTAGACTGAATTAAAGCACAATGTCAACAGCAGTTTTTTTGTAACTCCTCCAGAGATCCTCAGTAGTGACACCTCACTTTAATGAACTAATAGGGAGGGAGAAAACACATTTTCCCCCAATTT